GCATGCAATCAGGGAGAGATATTCTTTTTTTACTACCTTCCTATTGGGAATACGTAGTACTTTTTATCTAAGGCATGTAATGGATGGTAGAAGGGCAAGCATGAAAATAGAAATACACCTTACATTGTGAATTTTTTGGGAAAAGTTAGTACACCTTATATAAAGGAACGGAGGGAGTAGTAGTGAAGTAGTTAGCCAACATGTTTGACGTAAAATAACGGGAAAAGTCCAAAATAAACCTTGCATTTATAGGCGAAAGCTAAACCAAACCCCGAACTGTCAATCCCTGAAATCAGCACACTAAATTCTCTAATCCCGGTCTATTTTAAACCTTGAGAGGACTTCGCCAGTATTTGCTGAATTGGGCCGGCCCAGTAGCGCAGTCGATCATGCACGCACACTAATTTGTTTTGTTAGTTTTTTTCTTTTATGTTTTCTTTTCTTTTTCATTTTCACACATGTCTAATTTTTCTCAGTACCAAACATATTTTTTTAACGCACACATTAAATATTTGATAAACTTTTGGTATTTCAAATACATTATGGAGATTTTTAAATTAAATGTTTTCAAAACTTTTTTGAATACATGGTAATATTTTTCCAAATACATGTTTTACATTTTCTTAATGACACTAAACATTTGAATAAAACTACACGAACACTCTTTTACATGGTTCAACATTTTTAAATTTCCATACACTTTTTCAAACACATGTCACGTATATTCTGTTAAGGTTATGACACATTTTTTTACAACACGCAAACATTTTTTTACATTGTACAAAAAGTGTTCGCACTTCAAAATTTTGTTTAGGTTTCATAAAAAAAATGTTTCAATAAGTGTTTGCACTTTAAAAAACTTCTCAGGTTTAAGAAAATGTTTATGTTTCAAAAGGTGTTCTCTTTTTGACAGTTGTTGGTTTTATAAAAGTATTCAAATTTTTCAAAATTGCACTTTATAAAATGTTCGAAGAATTCAGAAATAAATATTTTTTCAATACTTGCTTGCCCCTAATTTTTTTTCACAGTTCGACGCTTTGGTTTTTGATTAAATATTTTTGGCTTCTTATCATGTAAGTCATAGTCATTTGCTGTAGTGGCTAGCGAAATCAGGTCAACCATACCAGGTCCAAAGTTCGACTCCACGACATGTTTTTTTCTCTTGGATGTATTACGTCGTGCGTTAAGAAAAAGAAAGAAAGAATTTTTATAGCACGTGATAAGAAAAAAAAACTTGCTTTATGTCTGATGGGCCAGCCCAGTCGAGTCCGCAGCCAACAATCCGAAACATTTTTTTAAGAACATTCTTTACGAAATAATTTATGAAAATTCCAAAAATATTATTCAAAAAATGCGACACAATTCTGAAGATCCAAAAAAATTAATAGCATGTCAATAACTGTTGTAATTCTAAATATTTTTTGACAAATGTGATTATTTTTAAATCACGAACAGTTTTTTAAAATGCGAACAGAATTTCAGAATTCTAAATAATTTTTAAGTAATACAAAATGAATTGAATTCGTGCTAAAAATATAAAACATGAACGTTTTTTAACTTCTGAACAATTTTAGAAACGTGCAAACATTTTTGAACCTTCACGAATTCTTCTTGTGTTATAGTGGGCTGGCCCAAATTCTTGTTTCTGATAGTAGCTGGTTATCCCGGCCGGGATTGTAGTATTCCCAGTGTGCCAAACAGGTCTAGGGTCTAAAATAGACCGGGATTATAAGTTCAGAGTGCCAATTTCCGGGATTCAAAGTTTAGGGTTTGATTTAACTTTTGGCTACAACTTCAAGGTTTATTTTGGACTTTTTCCTAAAATAACATACACCAAAGTAGTAAAGAGTCCTAGCCTCAAAACATGGAACTAAATTTTCAGTTACACGTTCTACTTCCCACTAGAGATAACCTTAACTTCCATATTAGTATGTTTCCATATGTGAGTCGAGTCTCCGAAATCAATCACTGTGATCAACAAGTTGCAATCGTAAAAGTAAAAAAGAAGATCCATAATCTTGTAAAGCCACAATTTTCTGTAACGACAGTACAATATGTGACTAGCTACCCTGCGTTAAATTTCATGAGGTAAAGAGCTCAAGCATTACACTCATAACTCAATCAACTTTGAACCTATATGAGTGACAATCACTGTCCTAGAAGCCAAGAAATTACCTCCTTGAATCGAATAATATTTGGATGCTTGAGTGACCGGTGGTTCATAATCTCCCTTTGAACATGTTCATCAATCTGCAGCAAAAATAAATGTTTAAGAGTTAACTGAGGAATCATAAATACTGAAGTTTAAACAAAGGGCCAGAAAGAAACAGAACAAATACAAAGAGCTTAAGAAAATAACAACCACAAGAAAAGAGTAAAATTCCGGTACATCTTCGGCTTAAAATAAGGATTCCACTAAGAATCTGACGTCAGATTTTTAAGCATGACAAACTGACGCTCGGATTGCAAATTATGTTTACACGAGCATGGCAATTTCCGCTCAGCTTTTTGCCAGGATTTGCCATGCTTGCTGAAGGACATTGACATGCTCGTGACAACATAATTTCTCATCCCGAGCATCAGATTTGCCATTCTTAAAAATCTGACATCAGATTTTTAACATTCCCGTAAAATGATGGGCACACCTCTCAGGAGGAAGAAGAAGACGAAATGGACAGCATAGGCATGGCGTACTATAACAGTAGCATCAATGCATCATTAAACAAACAGAAACATTTGCCTGACATGTCCGAACAGCTAATTCAGAGGATAGAAACACCCAGCAAAAGCTAAACTAAACTCAGAAGAGAAAACAAAATATAAAAAACCTTGAAAAAAATAAACTTAATAGTAGTATGTACAACAAAAATAACCAATGCCTCATGCTTGTAACCTCGGCACATGTTTGTTACTTAAGCATGACACAGCCTTCCGAACGTTAGGATCGATCCACCACGCGCTCCAAGCCGTTGGATGTCATCCTGGACTGTGGAATCACTTAGGTGAATCATCTATTAGTTCTTTAATAACTGTCGTAAAATTTTGTTACTGCATTCCAATAAAAGATGCTTTCAACAGGTACACCCAAAAGGAGAAATGCATAAATGCTTGAAACCAAAGCCACACCAAACGAAGGCTATGAATAATTAATCATATACTATATTGGAAGTTACTAGTATGTGGCACCGGAGGCAGATTCTGTGTGTGTCATTGATTCTTGTCGACTATTTTTATTGGAGGGAAGCATGGGAAGCAACGGCAGGGTGGCACGCACTGGATACTTCCTTGGCCTACCATGACAGACACTGCCTATTTTGTTAGAATATGATTCCTTTGGAATTAAGAGAGAGTCTGTGTAAACTCCATGCAATGTCTTCAACAAGGGGACGTCGCGTGAACGACGCCATCGCCTCTTTCTTTTTTTTTTGAAAGTTCCATCCATCGCCAAATTCAACTGATGAAGGTCGAACCTAGAGTCTTCATCCCTGAAACTCGAGCCCCTGAACTCAAAGAGCACCACGTAGGCGACATCCGCAGTCCTGGTAAACCTGCCCTCACAATTAGAACCATGCCCGCGCAACACATGCTGCCGAGCAGTAAAAACGGCAAGTTTCAGTCAAGCAAGATATAATTGACTGGTCACATAAATTGCGAACTAACCGACAAAAGGAGCGTAAAAAACGCTCTTATATTTCCTCCGAAACTCCCAGCATTTCTGGAAATTCGGAGCACACACGGGGAACCACGAGATAACCTCACTGTCCTGCAGCTTCACTGCCGCGTAAAACAGAGGACAGAGCAGAGCGAATCCATGGACGCTGACCGGCCAAACCAAAACATTCGATCCTCCATTCCAACTTGACCAATCACGGGGGCATGCCACTAAAAACAGGCCAATCGAGCCTAGGATAGCACGCACGCACACGCAGGAGAATTATTCGGATCAGGCGCCGATCGACCGTGTGGGTACGTAGGAGGGGACGTACCTTGTGGCCTCGCTCGATGAACTTGACGGCGAAGTGCTCCTTGGTCCTGACGTCCCGCACCAGCTTCGCCACCCCGAAGTTCCCGGACCCGATGTCCCTCACCACCTCGTACCGATCCATCCTCCCGTCTTTCTTCTGATCCTATGTCCCTCGAGCACCTTGATTGATGGTATGGTGCGGGAGGAGGAGTGTGAATGGAGCTGGCTGCGTTCTGGAACCCACGAGGTAGAGGAGGGGATTGGGATGGGGTAAACTCTGGGCCCGAGCCGTGAGGTGGGGAGGGAGGAGGGGATTCCGGAGAGACACGTCGCCTTGCAGCGCCGCCATGTGTCGCCGCGGGTGCCGTCCGGAAGCCACAAAGGGAAAACCCAACCCCAACACTTCACGTTGAGACGAGGCCCCTACGGTCTTGACTGAAGAAATGGACAGTCCCGCTGTTCTCAAGGGAAGGAAAAGGACGCTGATGACAGCGCGCCAATCTTCGACTAACCAGCACCGCTTGATTCTCATCCAACGACTGCCTACCAGTTTCTTTTTTTTTCTTTTCGTTTTTTTTGCGAATATTCTTTCTTTTCTGCTTCAAGTTTAATTTTGCTTTTTTTAATGTTTGGAAATTTCAAATGTTGTTCGGATTTTATTTTAAAAAATGCTCCTGTTTTTCAAAATTTGGTCACAAATATAAAAAAGCCGTGTTTCAAGAAATGACCGTATATCCAAAAGCTTTTCGGAATTTCATAAAGATCCATTTTCCAGAAATTATTCACTGATCCAAAAAACCGGTGATTTTTTAAAACATTTAAGCGGTTTCATTTTTTTCGGAATTTCAAAGGATGTTGTCATGTTTAAAAAAAATGTTCGCCGTTTCAAAAATCCAAACGATAAATGCCACACGAGTGGCACGAAGCAATCCCACCCTGACGGTTTTTTACAGCTAAAGTTGCCATCCGGAAAGAGGAAAAAACCCAAAAAAAAATGAAACTTGTCATCAAAAAAAAAATTGGCATACTCGCATCACTAAACTTGTCATAAAAATATTCAGAGTTGCTATGTGTTTATGCCACACGTGTGACACTTATCAAGTTCCTTTCAAAAAATAATCAGGAATTAAAAAATGAGTATCTAAAAACTGTTTACAGTTTCACAAAATGTTTCCATTTTAAAGAAATTGTTCACAAATTCAAAAAATATTCGGAACATTTCTTAGAACACTGTTCGGAAATTTATGAGTTGCCATGTGCGTCATGTTCCTTTTTAGAGATCCACATGCGCTGGCGAGGCCAGTAGTACCGCATGCTCTGCCACACACGGGAGCAATTAGTTGACGAGCGCTTCTTCGGGAGCCTCACAACGATCAACGTCACTTGGCGCATTCACAGCCGCCCGCCACGTGTCGCACTCTGGGAGCTTTCTTCGGATTTTTATTTTATTTTTCTGCACGCGTTTTTGGCTTTTTAACGGGGTTTTTTTCGTGTTATTTTGACATTTCGGTTTTTCACCGGTCTTCTTTAGCTTTTGGTTTAAAAAAACAAAAAGGAAAATTTTGCACGAAAAAACGTGTTATCTTTTTTTCTTTTCTTTCAGGAGAGTCACAGTTTTGCTTTCGCGAGAGGCACGGTTTTGCTTTCGCCACTCACGACCGTGCCTCTCGGAAACGGAAAAAACCCTTTTTTTGTTTTTTCTTTCAGGAGAGTCACAGTTTTGCTTTCGCGAGAGGCACGGTCTAGCATGAATAATAAACCTTTATCATGAATAAGAAAATATAAAGTAAAAATTTTATTATTGCCTCTAGGGTATATTTCCTTCAATGCGACCAGGGCATCCACATGTAAACCAGATCATCACAGGAGCTCCTATGATAGCAACTAAACATGAACAGCAGCCTGCAAACCCTAGAATAGCATGCATCCACAACTACAGAGCTCAAGAAGGGACCGATGCATGAGTAGGGCATAGAGCATGAACACCACATCAATATAGCGACGGCCATGTCCAATACAGTAGTCGGAGCAGATGAGCAAGAGGAAGATGGAGCTCACCCAGGGAGGTTGTAGCAGAGGCAGTACCCAATGGGCGCGAGGGTTGCGCCTGAACGTCATCCAACCGGCGAGGAACCACGTCGGAGTTGCGCCTTGCACCACCCCGCCATTCTTCAGCAGGCCCAAGTTGGCGGCCCCATCACCTAAAGGAATCAAATGGATAATAATCCAAATCATAGGCACCAATAGTAACTAGAGATGACACTAACAGACACACTGACGAACTTGAAAGCATAGAAAGAAATTAGTGAAACACAAAATAATAAATCTAGGATATCTCTACCAAGTATCTTAGTATGATCCAGAATGTTTGAAAACAAAAACAATATCAAAATGAAAATAACTCAAATCTGGTACATGTTGCTAACAACAAATTGCATGATTGATAAGCAACATCACTATTGCTAACTAAGAAAGGGGAGATTAAATTTGGGAGTACAAAGACTGAATACTCAAGTGCCATGGTAGTCCAGTTACATCCCAAACAGTAGCCGAAGCATAGGAGCAGGAGGAAGATGGAGCTTACAGAAGGAGGTTGTAGCCGAGGCAGCACTCAGTGGGCGCCAGGGTTGCGCCTCAATGTCGTCCAACCAGCCAGGAACCGCGTCGGAGTTGCGCCTTGCACCATCCCACCGACGAGCACGAGCGCCACATCTTCCACCTTGAGCCACATCATCAAAATCATGGCACTCGGTCTGCTCAGTGGGGTGAACCCATGTGAGACAACCTACCTTCAGTGGCAAAGTTGTAAACTACCTAATGGACCAAAATGAAGTTATCAACAAAATCAGTCATTTACCTAGTGTCGGTGTACTAGAGTAGGGGTACCCTAGTATCCCGAACTTGTGCACGGGCAGTTGCAGCACCCCGCGGCAAGGCTTGCCGGGTGACCGCCAAGGTCCTCCGTGGTTCCTTTGGAGCCATTCAAGAACAAAGTATTCAAGCCAAGGAGACAAGGCCCCGGCAAGAGGAGCTTGCCGGGAAGGCCAACCAAGGCATCTCAAGGAACTTGCCGCGACGCGCCACGCGTCCCGGCGAGGCCCGGTGAGCGACAAGCTTTCGGACGCGACAAGACAACGACCGCGGCAAGGCGCTTGCCGCGGCAAACTACCACTCTGTACTCGCGCTCTAGCACATCCACCAACGTGTCGCCCTAGGACCTTTCCAGGCGCGTGTGGCAAGAGGCTGTGCGCCCAACGGTGCGCGGTGGCAAGCGACGCTGACAAGATTGCCATCGTGGCAAGCGGTGGCGTCCCTGACGGTCCCTTTTTGCACTATTTGGGCGACGTAGACGGGCATTTAATGCCTTTGTCCCCTGCCGTCAGGGTTAGGTATGATACACTGTACAGATAGTTGTACCAACCGCAATTCCTTTTCCATTTTTACCCTTGTCTACGTTGCCACCTGTCGGGGACCCCTTTAGCATATAAAAGGAGGCCCATGCGCAACGTAGAGAGGGGTTCGAAGGCAGAAAAACACTCACGCTCGGTCTCGTTAGCAGCTAGTGTGTACTGTAGCACTCAGCGCTCCCGAGCAAGAACTCAATACACTCGGTCATGCAGCAGTAGGAGTGTTATCTCTCCGGAGAGCTCCGAAGCTGGGTAAACTGCTCGTGTGCTTCGCCTCGATCCGCTCTTCGTGCGATCTCCGCCCCCCGTCGAACCGAAAGGGGCTCGGTCCGCCGGTCCCATAGGTATTCGTGGATCAATTTCCCCGACATCTTTGGCGCGCCAGGTAGGGGGCGTCGAGGTTGTGTGAACCTGATCCGACGTTCACACGAGCTAGATCTTCATCTTCATCATCGACATGCCACCGAAGAAGAAGGCTTCGGCGGCAGTTGTTTCGTCCACGTCGATCCCACCACCACCGGAGCAAACGGGTGGTGGGGTAGACGCCGGCGGAAGAACGGGCATCGACGAGGGAGCCCACGGTGCTGCCAGGTCCAAGGACAAGGCTGCGCAGACCTCGGTGTCCGTACATGCACCGCGCCCATCTCAGGAGGCGCAGGACCGACAGCGTCATGGTATTTGCAGTGCCATACGTTCGTTGGACCAAGATCGAGCTGGTGGATCTCGGGGTGCTCAAGACCAGCATGCACACCAACATGCTGGCACGAGCGAGACACGGTCGCCTGGACGGGATACTGCTCCTTCTAACATAGTTAGAAGTCCGAGCATATCCCGCTCCTCGCGCCGTTCGCCACTGCCGCCCACCACTCCAGCAGAAGCTTTGGCGCGAGCTCAACTGCTCCTGGATTACCCTCCAACGGCAGACAAGATCGATGAATGGAGGGCCACCATTCAGAGTCTCATCGGCTTCGCCAACGGCGACACTCCGCGGCAGCCGAGTACATCGCTGCCGCGGTAGGACTGCCGGGCACGAGCCGATGGCGACGAAACCGGTGGGGGTGCAACCACCATGCACTCTCTACCCCGAAGGCCAAGATCGCCAACTTGCCGGATCCACCTCGACAGCGACTCCACCGCATCATCAGATCCACGAGCTCGTCGCGATCAGCGCCAAGTTCTTCACGAACGACAGCAAGAAGACGCTTGAACTCGCATCGAGCGCCGAAGAGAAGCGCGGTGTCAATCGGACCAACGCGCTGGGCCCTCTGTCGGCATGCATGCACCAGGGGAACCAGGCGACTTGCCATACGCGGTAGGTTGCCCTGCGTTCACTCGTGAGCTGCGGCAAGTCCAATGGCCCAGCACGAAGAATTTCAAGCCAGACATACCAGAGAAGTATGACGGCAAGTCGCATCCGTCGGAGTTCCTCAGCATCTACACCATCACGGTGCAAGCTGTCGGGGGGCGGGATGACAAGATCCTGGCCAACTACTTCCCGCTGGTGCTCAAGCCCAATGTCAGATCCTGGCTCATGCACTTGCCGGACAACTCCATATTCTCCTGGGCAGACCTATGCCATCAGTTTGTCGGCGCCTTTACAGGCGGCCACAAGCCTCATGGCCAAGAGAGCGACATTCATCTGCTCGCCCAGAAGGAAGGAGAGCCCCTGCGCAAGTACATTCAGAGATTCAGCCGCGTACAGCACAACATCCCAGATGTCCACCCTGCCGCGGTA